AAGCTCAAAACACAGGGATGCTCAGCCCTTTAAATGCTTAATTGAAATGAAGCATTTAATTTCAATTAAAAAACATATATACAGATAAGATTTGGAATCAATAGATACATCTTTAAAAATGACTTCATGTGAGCTTACATTTTCGAGCCTCTTTGATAAACAAGAACAGTTTGATGCACAAGAAGATAGTATATTGTGTTGTTATATTTTTTAATATTGTAATTAAAAACAATATGAAAGAAATCTCAAGCCAAAGAAAAAATCAGACACACATTTCAGCGTGAGAACCAACTTTTTATTGTTCATTTTTGTGATGGTCCATATTCAATATTCATAACTCAGCATTTTTCCAAGTGAATCAGAAATACTGTACAATATCAATGACATTGACTAAGAGACATTAAAATAGTCCTTGTAAAGCTAACAGTATACTGTGGCTAGTGATCTGAATGTGCTATCACCCAACAGAATAGGGTTTGACTAAAGTTTTAAGAGCATTGCTCTTCTTTAGCAGTGAAGCCCTCTGACGCCGCTACTCTCAGAGTAACAGCGGTTCCTGTGGCCTAACAGACCGTCTGACCAATGTCCAACCAAAGTAAATGCCTGCAGAAATATTGCTTATAAATCTAAGACTAGTACAGCACACAGGTGTAGACTAGAGGGTAATAGTACACGTTTCATCAGTGTCCTTCGATCGTTACAGTACTTGGGGGCATTAAAAATACATTTACATTCACATCAAGTATATTTCTAATGATTAAAATAGCACTTCCAGAGTGCAAAGGTACTCTAGTTTTGACTTCCCTCCTTAGTGCGCATACACATACGAGGCACAAAGAGTGGAAATATCCCAGCTAAGTGTGTGCTACAGATATCTAACACTACTAACAATGATTGCGTTGAATATAGTCGGACTAAAAGCAACGTGTGTGAACATTTTGACTTTTGACAAAACCTAGAAGCAGCAAACAATAATATTGCGGATACTAAGGCCAGAGGAGCGTACAGAAGGTGCTGTCTGTATGATAAGCTGACGTCTACATTGAATTAAAACCAACATTTACATTAAAAGCGTGAAAGAACACTTCAGTTTAGTGTGCTAACCAACAATCTTTGCGGCGTGAACACACAAATGAACGAGTCATGTTCACAGAGGAATCAAAACTCACACCTGGAGGTGAATCTTAGGAGGTTAGGGACTCACAACATCACAATAGCAAAAATAAAACAGCTTTTTTTATACACACACACACACACACACACACACATTTGAGACAACAGACACTACTCCCATACACAACACATACACTATTACACAATGTACAAAATAGTTCAATATTCTACGCTTTAACTGTACAATAATATCATACACATTCAGTGTTACAAGAAATCACCTGTTTGCCTTTCATAGATTTCTTACCGTTCATTTAACAAAATGTACACCGATATTTACAGATATAATATTCAGAATCACAATGTACATAAATATACAGTATAGCACTTTGCTCACAAACATTATGGCCTCCAGCACCTCTTGAAAAAAGGAAGAGATGCTTGTTGTACATTTCATCAGTTGCAGTCGACTAAAATATGGCTCAATGTTTACGCTAGAATGAACTTCATTTCAAGAGGTCTCAGAGCTGCAGATTTCATTGTTTTCAGAGCAAATTAAAAGTGCAATTGTGTCTGTGCTTCAAAAAGATGAACATGAGCCAAATGATTCCAGATTGTCTACGACACTTAGTGGATTAACCTCATGCAGAAGTTGAATTGGAGTGTAAAATTTGTAGTGAACACATGCTATTCGAACAGAGAGCATTTGCAATTATGCATTAATGCGTTGCCACTATTACCACTACCTGTGACTCTGCTTATCATATCAGAGAAGTGTAAAGTGAGTGATATGATTATTGCTTCCCAGCCAAAAAAACTCATAGTAAGCATTTTAATGCTTGTATACGTTTGCTTGCTAATGCATGTTCAGATTATGCTATGTAAATCTGCTGCCGAATGTTGTGCTTGGCTTTGTGCTAATGCAGCCTTTAAAGGTGCACTTAAGTCATGTTTTGTCCCTAAAAACGTTTTTCGGACATAAATGAATAGTACGTTTGATAAATGTTTCCCTTAAACCTTTAAGCTTGTGTGTGCCTTGACTACTTTTTTGTTCCCTGTTGATTTATATTGTCTTTCCAAATACTGATATTGTGTTCAATGGTATTGTCAAAATTATACATGTAAAATATCTAATATGGGAAAGTTTCTGTTATGTAAAGGGTAAGGTCAGAAGGGTTACCCGTTTTTGTCTGGAGAGTGCAGATGGTTACGAATGAGGAACAAATATCAGCTAGAGCCAGTTCTCTTTTTATTTTGTGGTTCTGATTCTTTATTAAATATAACTTGGCTATTTAAATAATAATTTGTATCTGCATTGAAATGATGCACAAAACCTTAATGTAAAGTGTCAAATGTGGGCAGGATCATGAATATTTTAATTAGGATCATTAAATTCTTAGCTTAGCTTTGGTTGAAGTTAACTTAATATTGCATTTTTGTTTAATGCGTATTTTACACAAAAATGAGTTTTGTGAAATAATTGTCCTGCAGTACCGCCGTGGACCTCCTAGGGGTCACAGACCCCCTTTTGAAGGCCCTTGATATAGAATTTAATATTCAGGCTGCCCACAGGAGATTTTAATTGGAGAGCTGTACTCTCCTCTTTAATCTGTCTTTTCTTGTTAATAACTTGGTGTTGTTGAAAAGTTAGGATTTCATTCTGAAAATGAGCTGTTGTGGCTGAGAGAAATATTTTTTATTCGAGTGCAAGGAGTCACAAGTTCACATTTTGTTCTTAATTAATGAACCAAGTAAAGTTGCATCTGTTTGTCAGTGTAGATAACACAATCCTAGTGTCATTTTGTGCTTGTGTGATGCAGCTCTGGGGCCTCTTGTCGAGAGAAGGTAAAGTGCACAAACCCAAAACTGCCACAAGAGAACAACAACAAAACAAACAATGTATGTTTCACACAAATCATTAGAGTGCGAGCGATAATGAGAGGCACCAGCTGTGCTCAGCGGCGGGGTGGGAGGATGTTCATCTCAGAGATGAGGCTGGGCACATATAGACACGCCTTCAACACACTAATCAACGGCAAACAACGACACCTTGTGGACAATCTTGTGCTATTGCAGGTTATATACATTAACATTATTGTACTTTACCACACACTGGACAACAATAAACTACTACAAACAAATTGTGCATGTAAAAACGTGTAACAACTGTGCTAATTTATGTATCAATGTGCTCTTTTGACAATCTTATCTGACTGTGTGATTAGAGTCGATGCACAACAGACTAGTTTAGCAATTCTTGTCTAGGTGGATGGCTTCACATATTTCTAACCTCCTAATTCTCTTTTAATGAATGACAACACAACCCATCTTAGTGCAGGTAAATTGTGGGCTCGTAAAGGGAAAGTTCTCGTAAAAATGTAAACACGTTTGTCATCATTTACTCACCCTCACCTTCCAAACCCATGTGACTATTTCGAATGTAAACACAGCAAGGAGATGTTTCTTAGAATGTATGGAACAATCAGTGAGAACAATGAAAGTGAATGGGGACTGGAGGTGTCAAGCTCCAAAACATCACAGTTGAATGAAGCACTACAATGGAGGCAAAGATTGTCAGTGAATAATCACTTATGATTCTTTCGCAAAGCATTTATATTACTTGAGAAGTCTACTGTTATGGTGCTTTTCGTCTTTTTTAAGCTCGACAGTCCCAGTCCCTATTGACTTTTATTGGAAAGAAAAAAGTAAATATTCCTAAAAAACGTATATTCCTAAATAAATTCATATTTTGTGTCCATTGATGCAAGGAAGTCATAGAGGTTTGGAACAACATGAGGGTGAGTAAATGATGAAAGAATAATTTTTAGGTGAACTGTCCCCTTAAATTATTTTCCCCTTGTTGTTGTGAAATGCAGTGGTTGCTAGGGATCCCACAAGGCCCTTATAGGAAAATCTTGAGCCCCCCACCCACCCGTTCGTTCGTTCATTAACATGCAGCCGTGCTGTTTCTAACACAGGTTCCCCTAGGTAACCAGCCTAGTCCGTGTCTATTTTTATCACAGAAGCTTTTGTGACAGACGCAAAATCTACAAGCAGCTGGATGATCAAAAACTGCAGTTGTACTCATCAGTGTTTCAACATGACCCACAACTCCTGTCCCACTCTTATTCACACCCTCTTCTGCTCCCTGAATCTATTCTTACTGGAATAAATACTGAAAATGTACCCCTTTCATTAAGACCAGAGTATCTGTTGAAAGCACATAAACCAAACAAAAAAGGAGAGTATGCTTAGGCTTACAGACTATTAGACAGTGAGCTTTTAAGGGCAGCACAGTATTCACTCTACACTACACATAAAGGGACTACACATTACGCGAACCAAGACTGTTCCTTCTTCCAGCGCAACATATTACCTTATAAATACACTCAACTGCTTTTCCATATCAGGTTGATTTACATGAATCTTTTTTAAAATATATTGTCCCATTTACATTTTTCAGAGCCTGCTTTTTTTTATAATGCAATTTTTAAGAGAGAAAAAAATGCAAAAAATATCATGCAAAGAGGCTTATATATATATATATATATGCTACCGTTCAAAAGTCTGGGGTCGCTAAGATTTTTTAAACTATTTTTGAAAGAAGCATCCTATGCTTACCAAGGATGCGTTATTTGGCGAAAATATGGTTAAAACAGTAGTATTGTGAAATACTACATTTTAAAATTGTTTTATATTTTAGTGTCTATTCTGTCACTTTGGATAAATCTAAAACATCCTTGCTGAATAAAAATATTTTTTCTTTTTTTTTAAATCTTACTGACCACAACATTTTGAATGATAGCATCTGATCTGTGAATGCCTGCTGTGTGTGAAATTACGATGTCATCATGTGTGTGGCAGTTTGAAAGAATTCTTACAATATTAGATTGAAATCCACACAGATGACCTCATTATGTATTTTACACATATTCCAGATCAGCCGTATTGTAGAAAAATCCCAACTCTACAATCATATCTTATCTGTTTAGTGGCCATGACGAGAATATGTGTCTGTAATATGGCCCCAGAACAGCAAGTTTGAAATCAGGCAGTGTTAAACAAGGGCCAAACACTTCTCTGTGCAGTAAACTCACTAAAGTAAATAATCTGAGATTGGCATCTGTAAATCATAAGCAAACACAACTTAATAACCATTTACATGTTTTGTGGTTTGAAGTTTAAAAACATACAGTAGATTTCAGTACCATTCCCCATTTGGAACTTATTGTCTTCACTTAGAATAATTATAAATAATTCTGTCATATAGGTTAGTCTCCACCAAGCATGGTAACTTTCAGTAAAAACACAGTCCAGCTAATGCAGATTTCTCCACTGGTTTAGAACTGTGGCGCAGAGTAAAGCTCACAATGGCAGCTAATGCCACTCATTTCATTTATATTATTGCCATTGCAGACATGGAAATTAAATATTTGTTGATGTTCAGTTTATTTGTAATTTTAAAGTTATAGTTTTTGTGCTTGGTGGAGTTACATGGCTCAAACCATATCCCTTATTGCATCATGAAAAATGTCATTCCTTGTGCTGTGTGAAAGTCACCTCTAGGCAGTCATATTTGTTAAGATTATAAAAAAAAATAAAAACATCTAGATAAGACTTTCCAAAAATGAAACTTAAATCAGATAAATCCAGTTGCAAAAACAGCCTGAACCTGACACTGATACTGTATATATTTGATACTGCACTGAAACTACAGTACGTTTGTTGTATGAATACATATGTCGCCCTCCTGTGCTGAGATGTGGACATGACAGACTGTTGATGTGCAGTCTATAACCAAGAACACTTATCAAATGAACATGTACTTCAGTCTGTAACAGAAATCGAGCTATCGATTCACTCTACTGTCAGGTGGTCTGTATTTAACAGTGACACTTACATAATATCCACTAGACTAGAGGACTCATTATAATAAGTGAAAGCTTTAGTTTCTCTGAGTCCCTCTGAGTCGTCTATCTTTATGAGCTCTAAAGGTGGGTTTAATTAAATTAAATTAAATTCCTTGCATGGCATCTTTTATCTTGTGCATTTTGTAAGATGTCTGGAGTTCAGCAGCATTGGTAACACCTTAACCTAAACAACAACTATTACTACAGCACTCACAGAGAGGGATGTGCTACACCCCTATGGCCCCAAACCAGTGACAGAGACCAAACCTGCAGCTTGAATGTTTTCATTACCTTCTTAGAGTTGACATTATTTATCTATATGCAAAAATAACTTACCAAATAAGCCACCTTACACACTGATCTGAAAGCTCCAGGCTCTCTTTCACCTTCAGACCAACATCTGTAGTCCGTATGAATAATTGGGCCCAGGGAAGCTGTCTAGTCGGGGAATATGGAAGGATCTCTGTCTTTCTGTTAGTTTTCTTGTGGTCCTGCTCCTCTGAATGGCTTGGGTTAAGGTGTGACCAACACTAGGACCTTCTCATCTGTTCAGAATCTTCTTTCTCGTTCCATCTCAGTCTCTGGGTGGTGGGTTGGAGGATCATGACTCAGATTTGGGAGGGGCAGGGTTGGTCTGGTAACCGCTGCCATAGCCGCTGATGGAGGTAGAGTTGGTGATGAGCTCCACAGGAGATGTGCTGCCAGGGCCCAGATAGGCCCGATGGCTGGGCATGGGAGAAGGGGCTTCGCTGGGATTCTTCCCGAGGATAAACCTCGTCTCATCTTCTAGGGTGGAAGCCTCCTTTGCCAGGCTCTTGCGGTAGGAGACAGACAGCTTGTTGGAGCCGTCTGGGAGCCAGTTAAAGTGACGGGCAATGAAGACCAATGGAAGAGGAAGCATGGCCACAATGATCAGAGCAAAACACATGACTAATGCCCAAGGAGGATAACTCTGGAACCTCTCCATGGCCTGATTATAGGGAAAAGGAGAGAAAGAAATGGTGAAATGCAATAGAAGACACTAAGTTAACTATTAAAGTCCTTGAATGATAATTTTCCAATTTAAAAAATGTCATCAAAATCTAGAATTCATTGCTAACTTTCTCCTTGAAATACATGTACTACCATTCAAAAGTTTGGGGTCGGTAAGATTGAAAAAAAAAATTTAATTCAGCAAGGATACATTAAATTGATCAAAAGTGACTGTAAAGACTTTTATAATGAAACAAAAGATTTCTATTTTAAATGCTGTTCTTATAAACTTTCTATTCATCAAAGAATCCTGAAAAAAAAAAAAGTATTACGATTTCCACGAAAATATTAAGCAGCAAAACTGTTCTCAACATTGATAATAATAAATGGCTGCTGAAAATTCACAGAAATAAATTACATTTTAAAATACATTAAAATAATAAAGTTATTTTAAATTGTAAAAATATTTAACAATATGACTGTTTTTACAGGATTTTTAATTAAATGAATGTAGCCTTTGTGAGTGTAAAGAGACATTTTTTAAAGTAACTCCAACGCTTTGAACAGTAGTGTATTTATCTGAATATGAGCATAATGCCTAGATGTACTTGCATATATAATAGAAGGGGAAAAATATCCACATATGTAAACTAGGGGTATTAATACAAACTACCACAAAATTTGTTTGATTTTAAAATTTAAAAACTTTTTTTAATAGATATATATAGCTTTTTATGAACAAAATGTAAAAACTGTAATGAAAGATAAAATAGCCAAATAAATATAAAAATAATATTTAATTTCAAAATATCAAACAATGGAAGCATAAATGAATTTTATAGTTAAGCATATATTTGGGAACAGGGAATAGGATGGGAGATATTTTCATAGTGTATAACTAACCAGGTCTTGCACCCATGCATTGTATCCTGGAGGGTTGATGGCCATCTCTACAACACTGGCAGAAATCAGTATGATCAGACACACTGGAGACACATACTTCCACAGGTAGAAGTAAACAATGCACGGTCTGAAACCCAGCATGTCCTCCAGATCCTGCATGAACCTAATGGACAACATAAAGCATGCAGAATTACAGATCAATATCACACAAGGCAAAAGCAAACTGGATTGCATAGAGACTATATTTGGGGTTAGCAAGAACAAACACTGAGGAGATCTGATTTCAGAGATAATAGTGGCTTTCGCACCGGAATTCAGTTATAGGAACAAGCCACCAGGGCGGTCTTCGTGAATCCAATTTTCCACTAGGGCCATTTTTCTGGTTTTCTGGTCTGGGCCATTTGTAGCGCCATAGGCTACGTTCACACAGCAGCAGAAAACACTTCTCAGTCTAGGGCTGGACGATATGGCCAAAGTTTATATCACAATATATTTCTTAATTTCGGTCGATAAGATATAATTCCGATATCGAAATGAAAAATATAAAAGTCTCAGAAAAAGTGCCAAGAATGCCCACAACGGATGTCTGCACCTACAAACTTCTGAAAAATGAATGGCCAAGTCTATGAAACATCCTCCTATAAAACTATATAATATTTTATAAAATAAAAAAGGTACAAATAAATGAATGTTAACCTTTTATTTGTATTTAGCCTTCAACCAAACAGGAAATGTGAAATCACTGTCAAATAAACAAGACACTCAACTTATTAATATGAATATCTTTAAACTTTAAACTATAATATAGGCTGATTATGTTATTCTTATAGATTGAAACAAAAGTGCTTCAGCCAGGATAAAGAAAAGGCTTTTAAAAGTGCTCAGAGTTGCTGCAGAAAACAGAAAAAAGAGTGATCAACAACAAAAACACATTTTGCTGGGGCAAGGACATTGTTGAGTGTTTATGACACCCTGAATTCATTCGATTGATCTATCAGAATGTGGGGTTTACATGAACGCTAAACAAGTGATCGGGTTGATGTGCGGTTTATATTTCACAAGCTTCAAATCGGAATATATATTTTTGACATGCGCTCACTGCACAAAAGGGTTTCCCGATGTTTGTGCATAATAACCATTCTCCTACATTTGTTCTTTATTTGTTTTAAACAGCAGACTTAATAATTATCCGTTTCTGGTCATAATTTGGAGACAATGAGCATATGAACCGTTGTGCTGTGCTGCTTATTTATCACGTAGTAAAAATGCTGTAATGTAGGCTATATTGAAATATCGGAAATGTGTTTAAAAATCATATCACCGTTATTGATATTATTATGCCGCAATAAATATTGATATTGAATTTTTGTCCAGCCCTATCTCAGTCACGTATTTGAGTACCTAATACGGTTACATTCACACACAGTTCAGTTATTTACAGGAGTGACGACCACATTCTATAACCAAACTAACATCCGTAAATTTTCAGGACTCACAACCGCATTCTCAGAAAACACATGCTGTGTGAACGGAACGTGAACAGTGTGAGAGAGCCGCTCTGCACTGTGCATGTCTACCATGTGTTGTGGGTTTTCATGTATGGTTTTTCGGTATCTAACAGTGACGGAGATATGAGTGTTTTAGATCCAGTCACTGTTTTCCACCGAAGCTGCTCCCATCAGTTTTGTGTGCAATGTGAGCCACAAATGCTCCGCTCTCCACCCAGATATAAAAGCTGCTGTTTTCAGTGGTATTGACGTCGCCATCTTTGATATTACTTTGGTCAGACGCTACTGTAAGTTGCTGTGAGAACGGGACATGTTGAGACTCATTTGTCAACTTGTAGTGCTGCGCATCATCGAGGCTGAGAAAAGAACATGACACTGCACACAATGGGCGACAGGTGAATGCTATCTATCACTGTTTTCCATGTTCTTGGAAAAGGTGTTCCTATAACTAAAATCGTTCCCAGTTCCTTCAGTGCGAACAGACCAAAAAGAGCATTCTTTTTAGCACTCAGGTGCGAAAGCCCCTACAATCTTCTTTTGAGTAGCTCTCTGAGCAAAACACCAGAGAACAGCACTAAACAATCTGCCCACCTTTTTGTGCCATAGACCCAGGCAACAGATATATTCTCCAGGATCACCACAATAGTGAGGGGCAAACCAGCAGAGTAGTCATCAAACATGGTGACAAAGTAGTTCCCTGAACGCTGGACAAACAGCAAGCCGCACAAAAAGGCCACAATACAACAGCCCACTGGGGAAATACAAGATCACACAAGTTAGTCGGTGCCTTATCAAATTGGCCCAGGATCATTTAGAGTAAACTTAATTTACTGTCTCAGAAAAAAAGAGAAGTGAACAAACCAGGAGCTCTCACCTGTGAGCACCTCTTTGCGAATTTTGAAGGTATCCAGAATGGGTGTGGTTATGCCAGTCATGGTGCCAATCATGCTGCCCAAGCCCAGGTTTATCAACATGAAGAAAAACATGACAGACCAGAAGGGAGAGCCTGGAAAATGGGTCATAGCCTCTGTGAAGGCAATAAAAGCCAGACCAGTGCCTTGAACAGCCTGATGAGAGAGAGAGAGAGAGAGAGAGAGAGAGAGAGAGAGAGAGAGAGAGAGAGAGAGAGAGAGAGAGAGAGAGAGAGAGAGAGAGAGAGAGAGAGAGAGAGAGAGAACCATAAAAATCATAAAAAAATCTAAAATTAAAATTAAAATGAAAAAGATATTTTCATGAAATAAAAAAAACTTTTACAAAATTGTAAAAACTAAATAAAATAAAATAAATAGTCTTAAAAATAAATGTTATTTTTATATAGAATATATTTTAAAAGTTTCACATTTTATAACCTCTTTTCATAAATGAAATACGCCACTAGATACCACCAGACACTAAGAAGTGTAATGCTGGTAATTAAATAATCATTTAGCACACTCATTTTGGCAGCACAAATATACTAAAATAATAAAGTAAATGAAGTGAAAAGAGGAAACACTGAAAAACTAAAACTAACAGTAAAACTAACAAATAAAATAGAAATGAAAAAGCTATAATAACACTGATAGAGATGAATAAAAAAATTGAATTGTGCATACATAAAAAAAAAGAAAAATACAGAATGGCTCTAAAATTATAAATAGCTTGAACAGTGCAATATATTCCAGAACATTACGGTTCAAAGGCATTATTACAATCGACATTTTTGTCTATTGAGCTTGGCAAAAAAACAACAACATCCTAAATGGCTTAGCTGAAAACCTGCTGAAAGCCTTTAGCTCATGGGCCAAACACCTGCCTTATTGAGCTCATCCTCCAGCAGACACGGCTCCAGCCCCAGCTGCGCAAAACTGTCCTCTTTCACAATCTTTATTACGCCGTACATCTCCGCATAGTCCGACGTGGTGAGGTGGGAAAAGTTGACGTGAGGGGGGATGAGATCCTGACTCAGCACATTTGAGTTCAAGTACCCTAGAATCTTTTCAGCATTCCTACATGAGAACAACACAGACATGAGCTTTAGATTTAAAGTATTAGGCATAGTTATTATTATATTATAATGGAGAGTGTAACTTAATCCAATCACAAAAATGATCCTTTCATGAGAATAATGAAAAGCATTGAGAGGTCATACGTACTCCACAACACATTTCTCGTTCATGATGTTGGCTTTGAAGCCCAGCACAGCAAACACTACGAGTGTGGCCAGTATAGAGGTCATGAAGTTGATGAAGGAGACAAGCACGGCATCAAAATGACAGTTGTTGTCTCTCTTGTTGTAACTGGAAAAAGCGATGACACCTCCGAAACCCAGACCAAGAGCAAAGAAGACTTGAGTGGCAGCTTCACGCCACACCTGCGGCTCCAACATGATCTCCAGCTAAAATGAAATAAATTAAAAATATTTATTACATTTGAGTGATTGAAAATCTAATCTCTAAGTAAATGAACAGTGCCAAATAAGTGTCAGCATAGCTGAAGGCCTTCTATTGCATAGAATCATGTGTGATTAATGTAATAGAATCATATTTCATAATATGAATTTGATTAAATATCCCAAATACACCACAAGAGGGAGTCCAACCATGTGATGAGCGCTACATTTTAGCTGCACACATTTTCTTTTAAAGATTGCTGCCTATAAAGATTTGTTTACACTGCATGAAATGTGTCTGCTAGTTTTCTTAAGTCATCTGGATATCCTAACTTTCACGTGTGCGTTTAAGAAAGTGTGTGCACACAATCGCCTTACCTTGGGTGTAAACATGTGAGCAATGCCATCTACTGCTCCTTTAAGAAACATCCCTCTCACCAGGAAGCAGAAGAGCACCAAGTACGGAAAGAGTGAGCTGAAGTACATCACCTGCAATATTTATTGTTTTCGTTCAAATGTTTTAGAATGATTTGTGCATACATTTCTCAGAGAACAAATTTTTTTTGTTTTATATTGTGTATTAATGCTTTTGGAATTATTTATTACAACAAGAGCTCGTAAATTTCGGCACATTATAAATGTATTTATTCTTCTTCAACAGTTTTTTTGGTAAGAATCCACTCTTCCCACTTTTTTTGGTTGATATCTTTTTTTGGCAATTAATAAACAAAGAAAATTCGAATAAATTCTATTTGTATTTATTTATTTATTTTAAATTAAATGTAAACATTATTTTAGATACACTTATTTAAGTATATATATATATATATATATATATATATATATACATATATATATATATTTTTTTTTTTTCTATTGTGTGGAGGCCTTATGGAGTCTCTTTTAGTTACTTGACATTTGGCCGGTTTCATAAACTGCTTAGACTAGCTTTACAAGTTTTCTTCAAGACTGGTCTACATTTTTGTCATTTACATAAAAATGTAGATTAGTCTAATTTGAATTTAAAAAGTAAGACTGATAAGCCTTAACTAATTACTAGTTGCTCAGACTAGATCTTAAGACTTGCTGGTTAAGTTTATGCAACTGTCCCCAGAACAGGTGGTGAAGCTCTATTGGTCTGATAGGATTAACCAAAATTTTAATTTATAGAGAACTATCTGTGTCCCTGTTGTTCAGACACTGTGATACATTTAAACAGCTGGTAAATGGGCATTTTTTCCACAAAATATGTGTTTGCAAAAACTGCAGCACTATCACACCTTGAATTAGCTTCAAGGAGAAAGCAAACGTTCCACTCTGAGAATATAATCATAATTGCGCATCTTGATTGTGTAATTGTTCAGATGTGCCTGATAACCCAGCATCTGCATATTGTGCCTTTGAGCTATCTGAAAATTGATGTTTCTCAACTCAGTTGGTTCTCATTTCATAATCTCATGCAGTAGCAAGTCTGCCTCACCCTCCCAGAAGACTGAATGCCCCTTATTACAGCCAGACAGACAATTATCCAGGCAGCCAGCAGTGACAAAGTCATCCTCCAGTTCAGACCGCCGCTGTCTGCGATCGAGCTGGTGATGTCCAGGGTCTCGCGGTACCAGTAGTACGTGGTTGCTGAGCTCTTCTCACACTCAGGCTCCACAACTAATCAGACAAAAAAGAAAAGCAGAGACAACATTCCTTGTCTATTCATATTTCTTTACACCACTGACTATTTAATGACCCTTTGGAAAAGATCAGGATGGTATTTCTTAGGATTTGATTCCGATTCATTTCAGTTGGGATGTCCATTTTGTCCATACTGTAGGAAATAATTTCTCTTTCTGCTAATGTTGTCAATTATACAGGACAGTGTTCAAACCGGTAACTCATCTTTTTGAACGATTCATTAAAAGAACCGACTTTAGTCATGTGTACAGAGAATCAGGCAGGAATCGTGCGGTATTTCTTTTGATTCACTACAAAAAATCGGTATCATTCAAATAGAAATTGTGATTTATTGGAATATTGATTGTTTATTGATCTTTATGGTCATTGTGTGAGGAACTGCAGAGCACTCACAGGATTGAGTGCCGTTCTTCCTGATGGGACAGGCGCTCCAAGGCAGAGGATATTGAAACGACTGGAAAAAGTAGAAGATGCTCCAGCCTATAATCACATTATAGTACAGACCCACAAAACCACACACCTGCAGTATGGAGAAAAGAAAGAACAAAGGGTATTGGTTAACATCTAGAAAATAATTAAAGGGTTAGTTCAACCAAAAATGAAAATGATGTCATTAATGACTCACCCTCATCTCGTTCCAAGCCCGTAAGACCTCCGTTCATCTTCGGAACACAGTTTAAGATATTTTAGATTTATCTTAAACTAAGACGCTGCTGACGTGTAATCTGGTGCGCCCGAGCTTCGTTTACAGTCTGAGGGAGACGCACGCTGTAAACAAAACACTCTTCGCAAATATGTCTAAGGATTTCGACATAGAGGAAGACTTGCATTTTTTTGCCCAGCCGTATTTATTTGAACCCGAATACACAGACGCACCAGATACACGTCAGCAGCGTCTTACATCAGCAGCGTCACTGAACGCGGATTGACAACAGAACCGGAAGACAATACAATGCTGAATAAAGTCGTAGTTTTTGTTATTTTTGGACCTAAATGTATTTTCGATGCTTCAAAACATTCTAACTAACCCACTGATGTCACATGGACTGCTTTGATGATGTCTTTATTTCCTTTCTGGACAAGGACAGTATACCGTACATACATTTTCAATGGAGGGACAGAAATCTCTCGGACTAAATCTAAAATATCTTAAACTGTGTTCCGAAGGTGAACGGAGGTCTTACGGGCTTGGGACGACATGAAGGTGAGTCATTAATGACATAATTTTCATTTTTGGGTGAACTAACCCTTTAAGATACTGAATATTGAGTTGTAATACTGAAAAAAGAACAGCCCCCTGGAAAGGTCTTATCTAGTTTAAGGCTCATTTTGCTTGACTATAGACTGTTTACTGAACATCTGAGCCACACTGTGCACTAAAAATAACAAGAGGTGACAAAATCTGGTCTAGCGATCTGGCACATTCTGGGATTCTTTGTCTGGGAGTGTTTTCTGCTTTACATATGGCTTTGAAATAATTGCTATTTATATTAGAATTAGATGAACAGAAACCACAAAATCTACACCTAAATCCAAAAATTTCAAAGGTGTAATCTGAATGAGTTTACATGCCAGTTAAGGATTGTGGAAAGTTCATTTTACAGTACATTTCAGTCAGAGTAGCTCTTCCTGGCAGTTGTATATGTGCTGATACAACTGCACATGTCTGGCTCCTGGAGTCTCATCTGATATATGATCGGATGTCTTAATGGATAAAATCTGAAGTCTTTTAACTCTTAAAAATCAATAGCATTACTCCAAATATAGTGTGCATTTATAGAAATAGAACACAATAGAATAGAATGAATGTGTTATGTATGCTGAAATACCGTGCATTTTGAGGGTTTAGCAACTTGTGCCTGTTTACAGCAAATCTATCCCTTGATTTTTCCCTGCAGTCTGTAACAGGGCCGTAATGGTACTTTGCGACGTAACAAATCCACAGCACATTGAGTTAGTGAATAATTGAAGCACATTCTTTCTGCTGTAGCTTCATGGGTATTAATAGCTGAGGCTGCAGCAGAGCAGGCACATATAGTCCCTGAGTGTTTCTCTACAGTAATTTTAACTGTGGGACTTCTTATCTAGAATATGTTTACCCGACATCGATGTACTGAAAACAAAAAAGTTTTCCTTCTAATTTTTTTGCATACAAAAGAAGATCAAAACGATCCCTGTTCACACTGAACTGCGAAAACTATTAAAAACGCTGTATTATGCATGCCAGGCCAGTAGTTAGAGATGTCACTTTGTAAACAAACTATGCGCCTATAGACTGAAAACGTACTCATGCGCATGTCGTCACCGTTATCAAAAATGTGCATTTTTGAAGTTTACACAGAGACAATAACGTTATTGGTTTCAAAAACGTGCAAATTGAAAAGTTTGCGTTTTCAGGCCCCCAAAATACCATTGTCATGTAAATGAACGAGCAAAAAAAGTTTTCCGTTTTTAAGTTGAAAACAGTGTCATGCAAACGGCCCCTAAGAGGCATGTGATGTCAAAATGGCTATCCCTATGTGTTTTTTTCATTGCCTTTGAGTAGAAGATTAAAAAAACAAGGTTGATTCCCAATCTGAAGTAAATGAATCCAGCAGTCTCACTCAGACTACATAACAAATACTAAATAAAATACAAAAGACATTCAAGATTATATTATAATTAATATTTGTAAATGAACAGAATAATATATATATTTTTTATATATTGGTATTCAGCTCATTCTGTTACTAATGAGAAAGCCATTCACAAGAAACTGCTGATTCACACAATACCAGCTTTCCGCGCTGGTGCATCGGCTTATGGTATATAACCATCACCTCCCAAAAGGCCTTACATACTTGCTGACTTGCTATATCTCCAAAGTGCAGTTGCTTATACAAGGAAAGAAAACCAGAAAGTCCAGGTGCAGCTGGGACTGAAAATAGATTTATTAAATGTTCAGAGAGAGTGATATTTTAAGATCGAAACCCATCTGATAGGTTGCGTGACTGCGCTCATATTAAAATGATTTGAGAACAGTGCTGAGTAATGGATGACGCGGCACAGGTGGTGAATTAGCTCTTTTAGGCCTGTAACTCATCAAAAATAAATGCTTCTATTAAGGCCTTCAGAACAAAATAAAGGGGGGAAATGACATTGGTTATTCTTGGTCTGGAACTCGCAGGCTCCTCATTGTATTGTGACCCTTCTTCAACAATGCATTAGCATCTGAACTAGAATCTCAAATTGTATCAATTGCCCAGTCTGAGCTGATGTGAACCAGACACTCCCAATCTGAAGTCTGGAGATCGTAAACCATGAAGAATGATTTACTTTATCTTGTCTATATAGCTGTATTTAAAGTTTAGTTCCACTTTCACATTTGACCCCAACCACTCCGTGTATGCCCTCTATTTACGCATATACACTCTCAAACCAAGTTACAACATTATCTCAATCAAGAAAAGAAAATACATTTAAGTGACTGCTCATTTGTGTCTTGTGTTTCAGAAGAACATAATTCACTCACCATCAGGCTGGACACTCCAATGCCACCAAGTCGTGGACAAACATAATTCCACACTCCAATGCTCCCTCGACGAATCCTTTGGCCAACCGCCAGCTCCAAGAAAAAGAGTGGGATGCCAATAAGGATAAGAAGGATGAAGTATGGAACAAGGTAAGCACCTGTAAAGAGAGATAGCGACACTTGTAAACACAGAGAGTAATGTCCTTACAACAGTGTCTTTAATGACCAACCAATAGCCCAAGATCAATCAAGCTACAGCACACTGACCTCACCACCAAAATCCTTTCAGACTTGTTTCCCCTTTATGTTGTTTTTCCATACATACATAAAAAAGTAGTAAATTATTTTACAATATGTCTGTTGCTACAGTCAAAATACTATCTATGACTGCCTGGGCCATGTTTTTTCCTCATATTTTATATTTACATACATTTTTAAGTAAAATATATTATAAAGGGGTCACCTTTTATATTTTTATTTCATGTATGCCATTTACTCACCTAACTACATGAAACAATGTATGACATTAAATCATATAGTATAGTAGTAATTCAAACTACAGGATTTAATACATTTTACAGTATATACACTCACCGGCCACTTTATTAGGTACACCTGTTCAACTGCTCGTTAACCCAAATATCTAATCAGCCAATATTCGCATGGGCTTACCAAAATTGGACAATGGAAGATTGGAAAAACATTGCCTGGTCTGATGAGGCTGAATTTCTGCTGCGACATTCAGATGGTAGTGTCAGAATTTGGTGCAAATAACATGAAAGCTTCTGCCTTGTATCTATGGTTCAAGCTGGTGGTGGTGTATTGGTGTTGGGCGATATTTTCTTGGCACACTTTGGGCCACTTAATTTAGCATTGTTTAAATGTCACAGCCAACCTGAGTATTGTTGCTGACCATTTCCATCCCTTTATGGCCACAGTGTACCCATCTTCTGATGGCTACTTCCATCAGGATAAAACGTCATGTCACAAACCTCAAATCATCTCAAACTGGTTTCTTGAACATGACAAAGAGTTCACTGTACTCAAATAGCCTCCACAGTCACCTGGGGCCTCATTTATAAAACTGTGCGTAGAATCCTTACTAAAAGTGTACGTGCGCCCGAAAGCCAAAAATGTCGTACGCAAAAAAATATTCAGACTTATAAAACCGTGCGTACGCCAGAACCTGCGCAGAATTCACTTTATAAATCCCAGTCAGCGGAAGATTGTGCGCACATACGTCTCCACCCCGAAATAACCATATATGGAGATTATAACGCCTAGTTTTACTATGCATATCCTCATCTGCATATCATTTGCATATGATTATTCATCCACATGATAACATGTTTAACGGTACAAGACATTAGGAAAATATGAAATACGGATGTGCCGTCACATTACATTAATAAAAATCATTTAGTAGCCCATTCTTCCCTTGTTTTTTAAATAAATAAAATAAAATAGTGCAAAATGCATTTCAGAGAAAGTTCTTCTCAATCTTTTCCACTGGCCAAATAGTATTTTAATTGATTTATATTTTTAATGGAAACAGATAGACCTTGTTATTTGCACGAAACCATTTTCTCAGACAATCTGCCATCATGATAAGCAATTATCTATGTAGTTAACACATTAAAACACAGACAGCATGCCAGAGGAAAAGTGTTCAAAAGCATCACATCCACAACAAATATTTATATTTAATGATGTTTTATAAACAAAGTTCGGGAGGAGCACGTTCAAATAATCATTCCAATCAACTGGTCATCAAACAATTACCATGTCTACCCTATCAGCACGAGAAGGAGCATATAAATATTCACTCTGTCAACTCACCTAACATTCCTTGACAGTTTCAGCATCCCTCCACCACCCCGACTCCTCACTCTTGGCTTATCTTATTTATTTATTTCACAGCCAGGAATACGGGGGGAGTGCTCTGGGTTCGGGCCGAATACCTAACTCGGAGCCCTCTCCTCGGACAGCACGCCAAATACACATTTATTCTATCTGACTTATTTGTAAGTGTGAACTCGTGAATTGAATATAAAAATGTTGTAACTTCTCAGTAATGATTTCATGTTACTGGCCGTAATTCAGAACACAATTCCAAGAGGATGGCTCTTGGGAATCGAAATCGGCTCATGAGCCAATCATCATCATGAGCAAGGAAATCTTCACGGTCTCTGAAAACACACTCCCTCCGTAGAGCGTCATTAGCAAGGTCTTCTAACAGCGCTAGAGCATCCATTATGATGATATGTTATATACGCACATACCTTTTTATAGCCCATTCATTACAAAAAAATAGTATTTGCACCTGGTTAAGAATGCTGATAATGATAATTCAGGTTGATGCAATTTGATTTATTGGGTGATGTAATAGGATCATTTAGAAGTTTTTCATTTTAAATAGTTATTGCTATTTGGGCCAGATGGTATCGCCAAAACACATACTCTTCTAAAAGAGTGCGTACGCACGGTCAAGAGCATCCCTACGGTGCGCACTTATTTACGCCAAGTTTATTTTTTATAAATCCTGATATGTGCGTGGAAAAATGCGTACGCATCTCCATGATCTCCATGATATTGAGCACCATTGGGATGTACTGGAATGGAAGATTTGCGTCATGGATGTGCAGCATCTGCAGCAACTTTGTGATGATGCTATCATGTCAATATAAACCAATATCTCTGAGGAATTTTTCCAGCATTTAGTTGAATCTATGCCACAAAGAATTAAGGCAATTCTGAAGGCAAAAGGGGGTCCAACCCAGTAGCAAGGTATACCTAATAAAGTGGCAGGTGAGTACACACACACACACACATCAATATAAGAATTAGTTCATTAAATTTTTTCATTTTATCTAGTCTTTCAAGAAATGAATTATGTCTTAAGATATTAACACCCCAACTTTCACACACACACACACACACACACACACACACACACACACACACACACACACACACACACACACACACACACACACACACACACACACACACACACAATATATATATATATACTGTATATACCGTATATACATACTCATCTCATAGGATTCTACAACAGATATATATTTTTTCTCATCAGAAAATATATATTATAAAGAAATCAAGTATTGGGACTGATCTAATGTCAACCACACAAAAATAAAATAAATAAAACAGAACATAAATATCAAGTCAAAGTAGTGCAGTTGACATTACTGAAGATTTCCATAACTGCAATATAGTTGGATCACTGATTATATTTCTCTTTTGATTACATTTAAAAAGCTTGATTTCAGTAAATGACAAGTAATAAACATGGCACTTGCCTTTAGAGAAATGCATTTAAACAAACTATATGACCTGCTGACTGTCACACCATATTTTAAAATATATTAATCTTATATGACACAATTTGGATAATGAAATCCATTATCCTTATACTTTTCCAATTAGAGCAAGAACAAGTGCAAAGCTTAATTATTTTTATGTTTTGTTCTTCATACATTTTCTAGCTAAATTTCAACTAGATGCAGAAGATGGTATCTTATAGGCTAATGACATGACTGCCGGCATGAATGAACAGACAACAGAATAAAACAGCAAGTCACGCTGCTGAGCCCTGACGTCAAACTAGCTCCATGGTGACGAAGAGTTTGGTCTGAGCAGAGCTTCCTCTGTTTGAAGTCAAAGAACAATCCGAAAATAACTGCTTCTATAGACACACTGGGCGGCACACTGCTGGCGGATGACCACAAACCCCTCCTCTTGGGAGGTTATAAGTGTAATTAGAGCCAGGGATGATCACAGCAAAGCACTCCCCAGCCTCAGCTTATGACGAAGAACTGCTTGTTATCAGGTTGATTACTGCATTTCTTTTGTGTTCGATGTTGCTTTGTCGAGGCTTTTTGTCTGAGCTTTATTTATGCATACAACTAATGAAACAAACGATGGGAGACGGGAGGAAAGAGAAAGGGATGGACGGACAGATGGAAGAGAGAAGATGGAGAGAGCAAGGGTGCGTAACGTAAACAAGGCCTTCTGGGAAACATTCATAATTGCAAGACAAGCAAGGACAAGACATGACGATCTAATAAAGGTGTCAGGTTTCACTTTCAGATAACATTAACGTGTCCAACTATATTTTAGGACCTTTTTTAATATAGTTTGTATACTATTTTCAAGATACAGTAAATAAATTTTTTTTTTCAGATAATTTGCAATCAATTATGCACTGCAAAAACTAAATTTGCAACATAACAACATAAATGTACGTGTTTTAATATCTTATCAATTTTGCTTCACTTGTTTTCAGAGAATACATCTTAATTTTTCTTACCCAATTGCCATTGTTTGTTTGTTTTTTAAACAAAACATAGTAAGTTTTATGCTTAAACAATTTCATGGAATTACCTTAATTCATTATATTTTGAGGATATATTTAATTTTGAAGACACTAAGCTGATTCAGTCCCCTTTCGTCGACTACATCTCTGTTCCCTCCTTCAGGGAACGAGGATTACATACGTAACCGAGACGTTATCATTAAATCAATAATTTCCTGAAATCATTCTAAACCACATTTCTGTCTAGAGACTGTGAAACAGCATGAAATAGTACGCTTCAGATTAAAGGAGGATATGAACAATGAAGAATAGTCCAAGCAGCCAAAGAGCAATGAGAGCAGGGAAATTATTGTATTATGGCATGTAAATTTGCAAACCAAGACCACACTGGCCTTGATTTTCCTGTTTTTAAACAGCCCATATAACATTGCTGCCCTAAATAACACTATCGTCAGCTTAGTCAATTTAGAGAGACCAAGTAATAGTGCACAAGGCACACAGCTGACCCAAAAAAGACTGTCTCAATGGAAAAAATGTACAGCTAAAAAGAATAATAAAAAAGAGTGAAAACATTAAAGGAATAGTTCACACAAAAAAATGTAAATTCACTGTCATCATTCACGCCTCTGTTTTCTATACAATGAAAGTGAGTTAAGCCTGGGGCTATCAAGCTCCAAAAAGACAAAAAATATATACCATAAAAGTGCTCCATAAGACTAATCTTCTGAAATCATACCAAAGCTTTTTATAAGAAGCTGCAAATTAAAGGACAAGTTCAGTATTTTACACTTAAAGCCCTGTTTTAAGATCGTTTCTGATGAAATAGAACGGTTAAGATTGAAATTTGGACACATGCTGCTGGCCCGAGAATTTTTGGTTTCTGTGGTTGCACAGATTTTAATAATGTATTAGTAAATGTTGAAATTAATATGAACTAAGATAAATAAATGCTGAAGAAGTATTGTTCATTCTTAGTTCATATTTAACTAAGGTAGGTAACTAATGTTAACTAATGAACCTTACTGTAAAGTGTTACCGGATTATCTTTAAAGATAATATATATTTCTATCACTTATAAATCATTTCTGTCTTTTCAGGACTTACAGAAAGTTATTCACGCTTCTATTACCTCGCGATTAGACTACTGTAACTCAATATAAATTAATTTTCACTTTCGCATCTTCAGATGGTCCAGAACGTTGCTGCTAGTTATATGACTAATATGACCTCAATCTTAGTCTCTATTCATTGTCTCCTGGTTTATTTTAGGATCCAGTTTAAGATATTGTTTTTAAAGCTCCAAGCCCCATCTTACATTAAAGATCTTATCCTCCCTTTTTCATCTAGCAGATCCTTAAGATCTAATAAAGCACTCTTGAATTTCCCATGATCTCGGTTAAAACAAAAGGGTCATAAAGCTTTTTTGATCATTGACATTCATCTTGCACCTTCACTCATGGTTCTTAAATCTAGGCTTAAAATGCATCTTTATTCCCTGGCCATATTTTTTATGTAATTTTATATTATGTATGCTGTGTAATTTACTTTGGTCAGAACTTTGGTCAGCTTTAAACACATCACTTTTAGTGAATTACAGACCTGTCTCTCTCCTACCATTCATTGCGAAAACACTTGAACGAGTTGCTTTCAACCAAGTATCATCTTTCCTGTCTCTGAACAACCAGCTGGATGTCAACCAATCTGGCTTCAAGAAAGGGCATTCAACCGAGACTGCATTGCTGTCGGTCACCAAAGCCCTGCGGATCGCAAAAGCTGCTTCCAAATCATCAGTTCTCATCCTCCTGGATCTGGCTGCTGCCTTTGACACTGTGAACCATCAGATTCTTCTGTCCACCCTCTCATCACTGGGCATCACAGGTACTCCTCTCCACTGGTTTGAGTCCTATCTCACAGGTAGGTCCTTCAGGGTCACATGGAGAGGTGAGGTATCCAAAGCACATCAACTGACCACAGGGGTTCCCCAGGGCTCAGTTCTTGGACCGCTCCTCTTCTCCATTTACACCACATCACTGGGACCCATCATACAGGCACATGGTTTCTCTTACCATTGCTATGCTGATGACACCCAGCTCTACCTCTCATTTCAACCAGATGATCCCACAGTAGCTGTACGGATCTCAAGCTGTCTGGCGGACATCTCGGCATGGATGAAGGAACATCACCTGCAGCTCAACCTGGCAAAGACTGAGCTTCTCATCCTCCCTGCCAATCCGTCTCTACAGCACGACTTCAATTTCCAGCTAGATTCTTCCTCAATCACCCCATCAAGGTCAGTCAGAAATCTTGGAGTAATCTTTGATGATCAGCTGACCTTCACAGACCACATCACAAAGACAGCTCGATCATGCAGGTTTGCTATGCACAACATCAGGAAGATCAGGCCTTTCCTAACTGAGCATGCAACACAACTTCTCGTCCAGGCCCTGGTCATTTCTAGGCTTGATTACTGCAATGCTCTTCTGGCTGGACTTCCATCATGTGCAACTAAACCTCTACAAATGATCCAGAATGCTGCAGCTCGTCTGGTCTTCAACGAGCCCAAAAGGGCCCACGTCACTCCTCTGTTCATCTCTCTGCACTGGCTACCACTCGCTGCTCGCATCAAGTTCAAGGCGTTGACACTTGCTTACAGATTTGACCACAGGATCAGCTCCCTCCTACTTCCACTCACTACTACAAGTCTACATCCCTACCAGAAGCCTACGATCGGTCAATGAGCGACGGCTCGTGGTACCATCACAGAGAGCCTCAAAATCACTCTCCAGAACATTCTCATTCACGGTACCATGCTAGTGGAATGATCTGCCCACCCTCATCCGGAATGCAGAATCCCTGACAGCATTCAAAAGACGACTGAAAACTCATCTCTTCCGTGAGCACTTAACATATATCAAAAAAATAAAAAATAAAAAATTCTTTCCTTTTCCCTTAAATCCTTGCTTATCTGGCTTATGCTACTCTGAGCAATGTCTGAACTTTGTATTTTGAGCGCTTCTTGCGTTGTTTTTGCCTCTTCACGATGACTCGCTTGGTTTAGTCCTCAGTTGTAAGTCGCTTTGGATAAAAGCGTCTGCTAAATGACTAAATGTAAATGTAAGGTAAGCTTTGTTTAAATGTGATCTATAAATAAATGTTACCTACTAGAAAACATTTATGAATCTTTTATTGTGTTTTGATATACAATTAAAATGTGGAGAAAGTTATTTATTGCAGATTTGGAGCGACTTCAAGGTTTGTGTTTGTTGTGCATTTTGATTCAGTTTGAGGAATACACACACATGTGTGTGGGTCTTTTTATATGCACATAATTCTGCTATATGTGTCATCCAAATGAACTTCTGAACCCAACACAGTATTTTGTTATCTTCCCTTACAAAGGAACTAAATGCATTAACATGTACCGGTAAACTAAACAAACAAAAAAAAAAGACATAGAAGGCCTTGAAATTTTGACAGCCCTAATTTCACTCCCTCAGTCTCTCAAGGCTGTTCATTTGTTGCCAAAATGTACTGCTAGGTTTAGAAATGCAACATTGCATTAAAGAGTAAATTATTGCTTTAAAACGAATATTAAAGGTGAGTATAATCAACACATTGGAGGAAATGTTGATTTAGTTTTCAACTAATGGATGAAATCCAATGCAAAACACCTGAGGAAAACATTTATGTATCTTAATTGGTGCTTTTCTGCCTTTTTGAGATTGAAATCTGTTGTCCCCATCCATTGTAGTTGCATGAAAAAGAGCAACCATTAACATTTCTCCTTTTGTGTTTTATAGAAGAAATGGAGGTTGAATAAATTATTATAGAAATATAATTTATTTTAGGTTGAACCTTGAAACAGTTACAAATGCACATCACTAATAAGTAACTCACCTCCTCCGTTCTTCTGGCAAAGATAAGGGAAACGCCACACGTTACCCAGGCCCACCGAGAAGCCCACCTGGGCCAAGATGTACTGCAGCTTACTGTTCCAGGCAGGTCGCCCGTCTTCCAGGTCGGGGGAGATGTCTGGTTTGCCTATGGGCGGAGGGCCCCCACCTGCCATGCTCATCTGGCTGCTCTTGTAGTCCATGGGAGCCTCCAGCGCCAGGAGGTCGGCCACAGACTCTGTGACATGCTCATTACTGTGCTCGCGCTGAGTCACTTTACTGCTCTTGGGCATGGCTGCGCCGTGTCGTGGTGATCCCAACGATTAAAGGTGTGAAAGAAGAGCAGGGCAGAATGGAGGTCACAATAACTGCCCTTTTTGCTTGATACAGGTGTGGAGAATGAAGGTTTGTGCTCCTGTGAAAAGAGCATACAAACATGAGAAATCGGGCCACAAGAGATACAATTATGGCTTTGGGATTCATAATATAGGCCAAATCATCTTCCAAATGAATGTCCATTTGTGTTACATTTAACAAAATATATTTTTTTTTCAGGTGTTCTGTTGAATTTTATATCTCAAGCCTAAATATTACTCTGATTTATTAAAACTATCTTAAGATTGGTTTTGGGTCTAGACTATAGAATACATTTCATGAAAACCTAAGCAAGCTGTTGTAATAAAAGCAAATGCAAGCACTAGTAGGACAGATGGGAAGATTTTCTGACCCTCTGCATTGCAGTTTTGAACAGTATAGCCTACTGGAATTAACCATGGTAAAATATCATCATTTTGCCAATATTAAAATTACATTCATTAATGTAAAATAAAGTTAAACAGTAATATTGTGAAATATTATTATAATTTAAAACAGATATGTTCCTAATTCTGAGTATGTGAATCTTGTGTAGTCCACTGGTAGCAGGAATAGTATAGTATAGTATAGTATAGTATAGTATAGTATAGTATAGTATAGTATAGTATAGTATAGGAATTTCTACTCATTTCCAAATCTACTTCTGTCAAGACATCTCTAGGAGTGTTTGGCATGGTAATGGAAATGACAATGTTTTATGTTTGGTCTTGGCGGAATAGATCTGCTTTGCTTTGCTGCTGCTGCTGCAGTGCAAATACGGGACTTGCTACTGCCGATAGATACACAACACGCTGCTGTGAGCAAAGAAGACATCCTGCTGCTGTACAATATAGCATACATGAATTATCCGTAGCAGATCTATACAGGTGGAGCTGGGGAAGGTGGAGGGTATCTGAAAGCGTTCTGCAACTGCTATAGAAAATGCTGACCAAGTATTTGAAGGTTTAGCAAAGCTCATTGGCTACTGATTCAACAGGAACCAATCAGCTGTGCCCTAGAAAGGATGAGTTGAGAATGACAGAACTTTGTATTTAATTCTTTCCCTGCCATTGACGGAATTTTACGGCAATCCATGTTTTCCATGTTATGACATGTTTGTCATGTTATACGGTAATAATGGGGGCTATTTTGAATCTTCTGAAAATGTACAGAATCTCCAGATCAAAACACAAGCGAAGCAGAAGCAGAAACAAGCAATAGAAAAATTGCTTATGCAAATGTAAAATAATGTGATCATCAAACATTAAACAGCATCAATCAAAATTGCCTAATGATACCGGATGAAATGTCGACCCAGGACGAGGTATAGGACTAAGCTCTCGGGGTGTTGATGGACTCAATCTACTCCATCTATGTTTTGATCATCGTTCTGAATACAATCCAGACGTAGTCTTTGACAAAAGATATTGATCAATTATAGATCAGATTATAGATCAATTATAGAATGAATTGTATATTTAAATACATTAAGTAATATATATAAAAAAAGAAATTAATACATTTATTTATCAAATATGTATTAACTTGACAGTAAAGACATTTATCAATACTAGTTCTACTCGATCTTAGCGCTGCGTTTGACACTATAGATCATAAAATACTCTTGGATCGACTACAAAACTACACTGGTGTTCAGGGACAGGCATTAAGCATGGTTTAGATCGTACTTATCAGACCGTTACCATTTTGTCTGTTTAAATGGGGAAAAATCGAAGATAAAGTCAGTAGACTATGGAGTGCTGCAAGGATCGGTGTTAGGCCCTCTGCTATTCTCAATATATATGCTGCCACTTGGTAATATTATAAGAAAACATGGAATTAATTGCCACTGTTATGCTGATGACACTCAATTATATATTTCATCACGACCAGATGAAAACACTAACTTATCTAAATTGACAGAGTGTCTTAAAGATATAAAATGCTGGATGACGTGTAATTTCCTGGTATTAAATTCAGATAAAACGGAGGTATTACCTATTGGTCCAAAACAACTACCCACAAAACCTCTTACAATACAACTTTAATTTAGAAGGATGTCCTGTTAGGAAAATCTTTCGAAAATCATATTTCATGTTACAAGAACAGCCTTTTTCCACCTTAGAAACATTGCTAAGCTACGTAACATGATGCATAAAAGTTAGTTCATGCATTCATGACCTCAAAACTAGATTACTGTAATGCTTTATTAGCTGGTTGTCCTGCATCCACAATAAACAAGCTAGAGTTAGTGCAAAATGCAGCTGCTAGAGTTCTTACTAGGTCAAGAAAATATGATCATATAACACCAATTTTATCATCTCTACACTGGTTACCTATTAAGTTCCGTATCAATTAAGTATTACTGACCTATAAAGCCCTAAATGGTTTAGCTCCTGTGTATTTAATGGACCTTCTATCGCCCTACACTCCATCCCGTTCTTTAAGATCACTAAATTCGAGGCTTCTGGTCATTCCTAGGATATCTAAGTCCATAAAGGAGGGAGGGCGTTCTCACATTTAGCTCCTAAACTCTGGAATAGCCTTCCTGATATTGTTCGAGGCTCAGACTCGCTGTCCCAGTTTAAAACTAGATTAAAGACGCATCTCTTTAGCCATTCACATAATGCTTACCTTTTATACTACTGTTGAATCAGATCGAATGCATTAATATTATGAACAGCAGCTATGCTAATTATTTCCCATCTGCTTTTCTGCTGTTATCTCGCGATGCTAGTCCCGAGGTAAATAGCGTTTGTCAGCTCCAGTTTGTATCCAGCCTCTCACGGAGACTTCAGATGCCCCAACACCTGCGATGAGATGACTAAACGCCTGTGAAGAGACGACTCAACGCCGGCGATATGTTATGCCCTAAATTAATACATGATTAACTAACTGTATTTTTCTATGTACATTTCTGAAATGCACTTTCTGTAAAGCTGCTTTGAAACAATATGTATTGTGAAAAGCGCTATACAAATAAATTTGAATTGAATTTGAATTTATAATGTTACAAAAGAATTCAATTTCAAATAAATGCTGTTCTTTTGAACTTTCTATTCATCAACCCTTACAAAAAATAAGTATACTTCAAGTTAATTTTATTAAATATACTTAAGTAAAGCTTAAGTTTTAAGCATACTTTATGTTGAAAGTATACTAACAATCTACTAGTAGCATACTTGTAAGTCTACTATTTCAAAACTTTGGACTTAAAGGTATTGTAGGTAGGAATTTTATAAAAAAACTTTTTTCCAAATTTGTTTAAACTTTCTGTATATATCAATGCATAATTAAAATGTAAGTACTCTGATAAAAAGAGTATACAAATCGAGTGACTCTAGACCGTTTAATCTGCACTAAACACAGCTCATTATTTCCTTCCGGGACGAAACAAAGGATTGGCTTAGGCGACTGTCACTCTCTCGCAACCATGGCAACCACCCTTTTGCCACACAGGACCTGCCCACTTGCGCGTATCCGTTTGATTTGAGAAATTCAAGAGGCACGGAACCTAGGAATAGCAAAACAATGGCAGAAAAAGACCAATCAAAATTCACATATGCAGTTCGCGAAGGCAAAAAAAGGAAGACAGTTACGTTACTAGAAAAGGTAATGAACAAAAAGTCTTTGGATAAACAACGAAATAAAACGCGTGTCAATATCGGCGTGGCTTTCCAGCGATGGCGAGAACTGAGAGACCTCAAGGGGCTGAAAAGTGACGCCTTGTGACGACCTCCTCTGCTTCGCCCTCGACCCCGGATCTGTCCTCGAGCTGACGATGCGGTACTTGTCTCTGGAGTGTAGTCCTCATCAGAGTCAACAATGCTTTCATCATGGAAACTCTTACATGCAGAACACCATATACGGTATGTTATGAATGTTACACGAAATTCATCTTCATCACAGTGTAAATGATGGCAATGGAAAAACGTGTATCATGCAACCTGTTTTTAGCTTTGCCTTATAGATAACTAGCTCGTTAGCGAATCAATATATATTTTAAACTTTACCAATGTCAATATGCTAGCTTGATAGTGAGTACTAAAATACATCTTATTTGTTTATCTTCATAATGATAAAGTTAGATTTTTTTTATTACATGTGATTCTGACATGATGTCACTACATGCACTGCGCTCCTTCCTCTCCGCTCGTCTCAGGTAAATAATGCGTCTTCAGCTCAGCGGTCGGAGTTGTGTTTTTGGGGCGTGACTTTGGAAGGAGCCCAGAAGGGAGGGGGTGGAGTGAATGGAAATAATGAGCTGTCTTTAAAACAGTCGTGAGAGGTCTACAGACACTCGATTTTTATACTTTTTTTTTCAGAGTTCTAACATTTTAATTATGCATTGATATATACAGAAAGTTTAAACAAATTTGGAAAAAAGTTTTTTATAAAATTCCTACCTACAATACCTTTAATTGGTTTTAGGCTGCGTTCCAGTCCACTTTTAGACACGCACTTGCGAACTTCCCTAAGCACTTCCCCTCGGGGGAATCCCTGCCACCATTTTGAAGTGCGTTCGTGAAGTGGACAAGGGAAGTTTATGGACAGACACTTGTTCCCTCGATTTTGTCCGAAGGAGCGAGTCTACTTCATATGTACACTTCAGGCAGCTCCATATACCACAATGCAACACGATTGTGACGTCACCGCAGATCTCGTCTAATCACCACCACCACCACAAACAACTCTGATATATTAATTATATATATATTTAATTTTAAACAACCCAAACACACCTATATACATTTGGATGCTGCATTAAACAAATTCTTAAAGGAAAAAAAAATGTAAATAATAAATCAACTCCATGGCTGATTCCAAGTGATCAAGCGCTTAGGACGTTCCAATTCAGCCAATTCAGTTTCCGCCAGTAGTGGGCACTCGTGCAACGTAAGCAATGACGTACATCCGAGTGAACAAGATGGAGGGAAGTTAGCAAGTGAAGGGCATGACAATTTTGGACTGGAACGCAGCCCAAGTGTATGAAAGTACTTTAAGTGTAACAGTAGTAAACTTTGAGTACACAACTAATTTACAACTACATTTTTCGTACACTGCAACTGGGCTATACTACTGTACAAGTGAAGCTATAGCTATACTGATTGTTTAGTTTATTAAAGTACACTTGAAGAATGGAGAAAGCTATTTATTGCAGATTGGTGCGAGTTCAGGGTTTGCATTCATTTTGATGCTGCTTGAGGAATACACAATGTATGTGGGCACTGCTGCTGAATTCTGCACATGATTCTACTACATGTGTCAACCAAATTAACTTCTGAACCCAAAACTTGCACAGTATTTTGTTATCTTCCCTTACAAAGGAACTAAATGCATTAACATGTTAACTACAAAAAAATCATCGACATAGAATTTTTGCATCTTTTGACAGCCATAATTTCACTCCCCCAGTCTAAAGGTGGTTTATTTGCTGCCTAAGTTAATGATATAGTTTTTATGTTGGGAGACTGGCGTAATACTAAAGCTAAAATGTACTACTGGTTTAACAGTGCAACATTGCACATTGCAAGTGTAAATTAGTGCTTTAAAATTGGACAGAATTTTGGTTTGGTGTTCAACTAATGTTTAAATCCAGTACAAATCACAGCCTGAGATTAAAAAAGAGTTTTTAATCTAGACCATAGGGGTGCTTTTCATGATAAATAAGGGAGAGGTGATGAGCTGAGATTTTTATCTACAGAATGACTAGGGAATGTGGCAACAAAGCCGCCATCTTTGCTCTTCTCACCTTTGTTTATCTTTGGTAATGAGAGCCTAAGGCACTGGAAAAATCTATACAGATTATATCAAATACAAGAGGACACAAAACCTTGCTGTGTTGCTAGGCGATGCTCACCCACCACCCATGACAACCTCCAAACAACCTGCATTCAAAAAAGGCTCAGATCTACTTGGGGACATATTGGGAGGAATCCAACTACTGTTAAGAGCAAACATACACATCATATGAAATTATTAGCATGTGCATTGTTTTTGTGACATGGTGATAAACCATCAAAGAACCATCACACACTGAGTTTGAACTTTTGCACCCACTGTGAAAATTTGCACAGTGTTCAGGTCCAAAACAGCCTGTCCGGGCAGCAGGCCAGTCAGTTCTCTACGTCATTATTATGGAAGGGGGGGATTATATTTCAGTGGGGAGCAAACTAGACCTGAAGAATGCTGCTCATGTGCTTAGTCTCATTTTGCTGTGCATTAAACACATGGGTGCTTATCACTCATAATGCAGGGAACGTGCTTGGTCAGTTGATTCTGCGGAATTAAACTAAGACACCAAAATCTAAGCCTCCCTGCTGGTGAATGCAATTTTTCAACATTTTCCCCAAGAATATAAAATGCGTTGCTGATCAGAGCCTACTATTGGTATGGCTTCCCTTAGCAATAATGGTCTACTGTAGCTAAATATCCTGTTGATTCAATTGCACATTATAATATGCAAATGTACATATTTTATGTCTGGGTTGCTAGGCAATGAAGCTTGATGAAATTCTCACATCTCTGCTTCCTGCATGCACTCTATATCAGAACAGTGAGTGACAGCTCATCTATCCAATTTCATATATAGCAAGCAATATATATATATACAGTATATACGTATATATATATATATATATATATATATATATATATATATATATATATATATATATATATATATATATATATATATATATATATATTTATTTATTTAATGATTCATGTTCAGGAAAAGATTACCCTGATATAATACAGGGATGATGGCAACTGCATGTTTTGATTGTGGCAAATCATGTGAATTCAGAGGACTTCTGTGAGCATGTCTCCAATGTCCATCTCCTAGAGTAGTACAGTATATTTACAATAATTGTACTACAATGATATTGTACTACAGTAATTGCTTAACTGAATCGATAAATGAAGATTTTGCTCACTCAATGCCAGAACAGAATGTTAAGCATGAAAATGAAAAGATGAGAAATTGGGCCACAAGAGATGAGTTTTTCATGATAAATGTTCTGTTGGCTGTTAAGTTTTATAACTCAAGCCTAGTTTGTTTCTTGTTCTAGTTTGTATTATTCTGATTTATTAAAACTTGAATGAATCTTAAGATTACAGCATTAATTTCATGAGAAGCGAAGTAATCTGTTGTAACAGAAGCCAAGTCAAGCACTTATAGGACAGATGGGGAGATTTTTCTGACCCTCTGTACAGTAGTGTTTAATAGTAGGGCTATGGTACAATAATTACATTAATTCATTTAGTTTACCAACTTATCTTATCCAAAGCAACAAATGAACACTCAAAGCAATTTATTAAAAGAAACATCAATATGATATTGTTGTCGTTTAAATAAATATTGCTGAACCCCACATTGCCCATATTTAATACGTTTCCGTAATGACAAAACATGCACTCAAGTTACAATTTTTAAAAAAATGCTCGTGTTTCACATAATTACAGTGGGCCTACTCGTTTTAATTTGTGTATGAAGTATAACAATAATGTTTTCAAACATAGTTGTTTTAGCCTACTTCATACACAAATGAAAACGAGTAATGTAATGAAATAAATCAAGTGCATCTTCGTCAAGCTTCCAGATAAACTCGACGGCTCCCGCGTCACCTGAGGATGCGCCTGACTGCAGTCACGGACAATGATACCATTCACCTTAACCCTCCCTCTTTCACTGATCTTTCAACACTAATCGAGACGAGCAATACGCTTACAATAGTTTAAAAGCACCAACACGTGGACCCCGCGGGGCTTAATTTTGTCATGTAAAGAGTACCACGCGCCTTGCAGCATCCTCAAGGTCAAATATGTGTGTCACGTTGACATAAAACTGACGCCCCTCTGATAACATGAGAAACCTCGTAAATAACAAACAACTGACCAGCAATTGCTGCTGTGAATTATCGACATGAACTGCGTGCAGCGTGATAAAACGCTCTATGCATGACAGGAATACCAAATAAGTTGCCACAACGCAATCATCGATGGAAAATCTCTTGCATCTTTTTATCACGTCGGGTACTAAATGAAGAGAAACCACGGCCACTTACTGGATGTCGAAGAGTGAGAATCAGATGCGAGTGTTTTCATAGAGGTCTCAATGAGTGACAATAACCCGAAGAAGGATCAATTTGATGGCTCCCACAGAAAGAATCCTCGCTGGTGTGCCGTTTCCGCGCTCACGACTGAACCTGTCCAGAAATGCGCAGAGTAAGTGACCGAGCGCGCCGCCTGACGCAAAAACCCACCGCGCACTATTGTGTATTCTCTTCAGCCCAAAATAGTAACTTTGGGGTCACGCTGACACATCTGTGGGTGTTGTCCGCGACAACACTTCTAACCAACCCACTCCTTGTTTTGTCCTCCAGTGGTTAAAATTCAAAGCACAATTTATTTCTCCTTACACGATTGGCAGAGAGCAAATTACTATATAGACTATACGCATGAGTCACGAACTCGTTCATACGTCAGCAGACGCGTAATCTGCGCATCCCATCCCATCCCGTCCAAATTCTGATGAAATACCATTAGCGATTGCAAAGTAAATTCTACCTCCTACCTTTAAAACCCACAATGGTGTCCAGATCTGTCAAAGGGGCTACAAGTCATGTCTTATTTAGTACAAGATAAGGTTGTTTCCCCCACATTTTAAATCAATAAACTCCACTATGATCCCATCAAAGCAGTGAGAGATGACATTGACACTGGCTAAAATTCGGAGCTCTACTTATGCTTGTTTCTTCTCTCAGAAAAGACTGTCTTCTATCAGAAAGGCTATTTCTTCGCACCTGCAGTCTGATTGTGTCCGCTCATTCTTCTTCCTGACATTGGAGGATTTATACCGTCCTTGGTTCTGGCTGGTCTGGCTCAATTGAGTTTCTTTTCAATTTTGCTATGTGAATTGAGATGGATATCGCAGATCGCTGATTAATGTCTTCAGCAGATGTTTTTTAAAGCCATCCCATTAATCACACGTCTGCACTCCTGTAAAGATAAAGAGTGATTTAGAATGCATCCCTTAAAATGAATAGATGGCTAATGTAAAATACTTTTGTCTGAGATCATTTTCAGATTTCCTTATCACTTATGAATTATAGTAGCCTAACGCACTGACTTAACTGATCACAAATCAATGCAACACTCTGTTTTTACCTCATGTGGAGACCAATGAAGGATGTTCTGGCACCATGTTTTACAGAGATCAAACTCTGAATGTTTAGTGCCCTGGGTAGGAGGCAGAGCTGTCTTCTGCGCCTACTGTTTGGATCCTGGAAAACAACAAACAGGTAACACATAGAAATGGGTTTGTTTATTTGTGAGTGTGTGTTTGACTCACATCAGCAGATGTGGCCCATTAGCAGATGTCTAACACCAAAGAGACTTTTTAGGGGCCGGATACACTTGCAGAAACACCACCAGTGTTTTCATGGTGCTAAATGTCCAGAATTGACTTTTTCCACGTTCTGCACTGATGAGAATTTTCCGCACTTTATTGGAAAATCTGTGGAATTGATAGGTCTAATTAAAAAGGGCTTATTGATCACTTAAAGAAAGCATAATTAACCACACTTTATTAAATGAATTTAATGTAAATATCATAATCTCTTTGATATTTTCTGCAAAAATATTAAAAACATGTATTCATGTGATACAAATGACGATTCATGTTGTAGAAAATGTTTCTGTTATTTAAATTTACTGATATTTTTAAATGAATTTATTAAAAATGTTATGATTTAAGATATTGCTCCTGCATAAAAATCAATTAAATTATAAATTAAAATCACTGAAATTGGATATTATATTGACCACAACATAGCATAGGGAAGTAGGCTATTTTTGAATACATTTTATTTTGTGTTGATCAGGGATAATCATGAATCCAAGACCTATAACCATTCAAATTAAAGGTATTATCATTGACAAATGAAGTAGTTCTGCAAACCTAAAGCAAGATTTACCATGGATAAACATCGCAACCAGTACTTGTATATCTTCTAGATAAAAACATGCATTTTGAAAAATAAATGCTTGAGGTAATTTTTTAGATGTCCATTAATAAGAATAAGTAAATTTTAGGTTTCACTAACTCCTTTTAGGGTTGAATGTTAAAGATGAATAAACACGGCATTCCTGTTCTATGGAAATCTACAGATTGGCATAGATTCTGCGTGGGCCTTGTCATAGCCCACATGGATACCCTCAGACTTATGCATCTAGGTAAATGCTAGTAAGGCACAATGAGGATTTGAGCATCTCCCTTTCCACAGATGTCTAAGACGCTGGGATGCTGCATGCAGACGTGCACAAACACAGCCAAAAATAGGACTGAAGTCTCCAGCAATTCCCTCCCTGTGTTAAAGCCTGTAGCTCTGGGCAAGCTGGAGCATCCTCAGCCCTGCAGCGAGTGTGTGTGTGTGTGTGTGTGTGTGTGTGTGTGTGTGTGCGAATAACAAGGCTCTAGCTCTCTCTCATGGAGCACAGAGAGCTCCTCACCCTTCTCATGTGACTCACCTCGCCAGGGCCCACTGCTGGGATCTGTTGCTATGGCAACAGCAGATCATATGATTCTGACTCATTCGCTCGTGTATGTGTGTGTATGCGTATTTGGGATGATGTTCTGGTGGCATGAATGAGCCATGGTGGCACACTCATGTCAGATCATGGTAAAAGGGATGCCTGCTTCCAACCTGAAATCACACCGCACGCGTCACCTAACCCAAGACTTCTACTTCACACAAACACAGTACAGAACATTAGCCATAGTACCAGTGTTTTTATTCAGTCAAATCCCTACTGGCACAAGATAAATAACCATACAGCATAACAAGCTACAATCCCTAATTGCTGCAAACACAGCATCTGAACGCAGAACTTGCGAAAATATACAAGTGTTATAATACTATGGAATATGGAAAAATTTTGTATTTACCTGAAGTTATATAAAAGATGTGGATTGACAATTTAAATGCCTTATCCTTTTGAGTTTATGCATCTTAAATCTATTGAACCAGCATAGACCAGTGTTGTTATTGTTGATAAATAAAAAAGTAGCTAAAGTTTGCGATAGCATCGGTATAAACACAATTTTCTCTGCAGTTCTTACTGTGAGGCTGCAACAGTGGTCCCAGAGAGAGGCTTTAATTATTGAGAACTTGCTGGCGTCACCGTGACCTTGAGTGAAGTGCATTTGTGTGGATGCTCTCCACTGGCGCGCACATGCTAGCCTGACGCATTACACCAGTTTTCAATTCTAGAAAAAAGAAAGGATGAAAAGGAGGTATTTTTAAACACTATTAATGAGTCTTCTAAAGCTTGCAACTAAGGTCTGTCACTCAAACGTCCATGAACTCCACATCCCGCCTCGGAGTTGATAAGACTTCACACTGTTCACAGGCTCATTTGCACGCACAGGCTTCAGGAAACCAGCAGAAGGGATATTTATCACCGGCCTAATGGGGCATGCAGCAAGGCTTGAATTTACAACATGGCCGCACGGGGCATTTTATCTGGGGAAATTATGACAGGGCGGGGATAGTGGAGAGGAAGAGAGAAAGCAAGAGGGAAAGTATAGAGTTATTAAACAAAAATAGTAGTGTGTGCGCTAACAAATTTGGGCCTTAAGGAACTATTCACCCATGAATGAATACATTTTGACTCACCCCCATATTATTTTCTTTAATCTGTGAGATGCAAAAGTGGTTACACTTTATTTTGATAGTCCACTTCAGACATTCTACTAACTATAAATAATTTTGCAACTACATATCAACTGCCAATCATTAGTGTTAGTAGACTGTCTGCTTAATATCTGCAACACTGTATTTTGATGGTCCATCCAACAGACAGTAACTTTGCAAGTACGTCAACTTATTCTACCAACCATAGCCCTAACCAAACGGTCTACTAATCCTCCAATGAGAGTTAGCTGACATGTAGTTGCAAAGTTACTTCATTTGTCATAATTTACTCATGGTGTTCCAAAATCATACAGCTGGCTTTTTTTCTGCAGAACACAAAAGAAGATATTTTGAAAAATGTGTCAGTTGTATAAGAGGAAACAATCACTTTGTATGATGAACAGATTGAAATGTAAGGCTTTATTCACTCTCAAATAAAATCAAACATTGATCAATGTACGCATACTACATCCAATATGGCCTATAGTCATATATTCAATCATTAAAACTTGGCAAATAATTTCTAAAGAAAAGCCTCTAAACAAACTCCCACAATGGCAAAAGGATGCTTACAAATCTACATTCAAATACTCAGCGGTATAAGAGTGAAATTTTGCAGTGCTGCCAATCTGATATTTGTCAGCACCATGTGTGATCCAAAGTGCTGTTCCTTTTTTGTGGCCGTGTCTGTGCTCACGTTCTTCACTTGTTAACATTACAAAATGAGGATGAATAAAGCCTGAAAGTGAGTGGGAGAACAAGAAAAAAGCTCATTATAGGCAAAGTATGCATAATCTGGTATATTTTGCCTGTTATTTATTCCATGTACTGGTATTCAGGATTTAACTACTTACCCCAGACTCAGATTTAATGGCCCACGGTGTCTTATCTCACGTTCTGTGCCTTTTAACTGCCTTTGACAAACCGTATATCCTCAAGCCTTGTACCTGACAGAAGCAACCTGTTCCTTTTGCACAATCTGAGACTTGGAAATGCAATTCTCCTGCAGTGAAGTCAGATTTATACAATTACATGGATTGAATCATTAAAGATGTATGCTCAATCCCTTCAGGATCAGACAACAGACCAATCACTGTGTAACTGACATCTAATGAACTTAATCACAGAGAAGACGACAAGGGACATGGTTGAGACAGCTGTAATTCAGGTGTCATGAACCGGGGTGTATGTTACACTGACAGGATATGAAGCACAGGACATATTTCAGGCTGAAGCTGATCTGAACACTATAACAGCCTGCTGTTAAGAGCCGGCTGACGTCATAATCTCCTGCTGCAGCATTACGTATCATAAACAGGATGGCGATACAGATTTTGTCAGTGCCAATGGTGGAGCTACAGGGATGCTTTTGATTTAGGCTCGAATCCAGTTAGATATGTGCTGTGACAGAATTTCAGGACATATAAAAAAATATGACAAAAAAAAAAAAAGATTCTATCAAATGATTAAAAGGGGCATTGATTTCAGAATTTGTCCTAAAATTAATAAACATAGAAAATGGTAGAGATAGGAGGATTGAACTGCATGATGGGAAGGCACAACACCATCTGTATCACAACCTGCCAATGAGACGGTCGGTCGCCAACACTGATAATATACAAAAAAGAGATAAAAAAGATAACAGGGAACAGATTATATATAAAATATTCGATAAATATAATAAAATAAAATGTTTATATAAAATGTTGTATTCTGTAATCAAATGCCAGTATACTGAAGATGATAGACTGA